TTGTCTATCAACATGTCGAGTTGCATCTGTAAATGATTTCTCGCGTCTGTCAAACCGAGTTCATTAGCAGCAGATCATTAATTTTAGCAACTAAAATGAGTTTCATTTGGCAAATACGTGTTATGACAGATGGTTTGAAAGATGAATAGGCTGAAGCAAATGAGCAAAGTATAAATTTCGATAATTATGTAGATTGACGAAGATTAAATACCCTTAACAAACATTTAGCAGAGGTATCTCTACTTGCATAACAATTCATAGGTAAACTCGATATCTTAACAATTGTTCCATTCGATATGATATAGTAGACAGAAGATATAGTAGACAGATGTTGATAAGTTCTAGCTTAAGTATTTCCTGATCGGTATCAACAGCCACAATTATAGAGACTCTAGACTCTAGAGATTCTAACTAATCTTTCACTATCTTTAATAAGCTCTGTAAATATGAGGTCTAATAAATTTTGGTTAAATATTTCTTGATCCATATCAACAGCCACGATGATATAGATAAGTTCTCCCCTCGCCTTCTATTCCAACTAGTGTCTGACTACCTTAAATAAATTCTGTAAATTGTGAGGTCCAATAACACGGACTTCTATATTATATAGCTTTCCTAAGTACAATCAGCCAAAGCTTGAGCTCGTATATAAAAATCGCTTCAATACTCTCCTAAAATATAAAGAGCATCGCACTACAATATCATATTGTTCCTGTGCAAACTATCTATCCACAATTTTGCTTTTTAATAAAAAACCTTTTTGTTGTTTAATATAGAAATATCAGAATAAATTAACTTTCCAATTGCATAATGACTGTTAATAGTCATTAAAAATATATACATATTTTTAATCAAAGAGGACGAAGCTGTCTCATTCCATGCTTTATATGCACGTGAAAGCAGCTGAAGTCTCTCTGCTTGAATACTCATTGTTCTAATTGCATACGTATACAATTATGATTATATGTAGGCTAGTGTAGCTAAAAATAAAAAGATAGCTATGTTAAGGTAAAGCAATAGCTAGCAAGACCTTCAACTATGTCACTAAGTATTTATTAGTTGATTTAATTTACTTATTTGCAGTTGACTTTAAGCATTTACTATCTATCTATAATTATTTTAACTATGTTTACCATTTTAGTTTATTTTAGTTTTAGTTTTACTATTTCAAACATATTTTTAGCCATTCTATTTAAGGCTTAACTCAAGAACACATTAAAAATATAATTCCCAACAAGTTAACGTTGCTAAGCAAACACAAAGACAAAGTTTGTGCGCCCTCTCACTTACTCCCACTCTTTGTTTGTCTGTCTCTGTTTCGATCTAATCTCTCGTTCTAGTTAACTGTGACAGGCTTAGCAACATTTTGCCCCCGACAACATTCCAGTTGTTGTTGTTGTGGGCAACCGCGAGATGTTGCCATGTCGCCCGCTGCTGCTGGCGTCGACGCGGCGACAAAAAACACGCTGCCAACTGATGCGGCGCACAGCAGTGAGTTGCACGTGGATGTCAGCAATAGCAGCAGTTGCAGCAGCAGCTGCACCAACTATGGCAACTGTGGCAGTCAGCAACGTGTGGCACGCAAAACCGCGTGGCAGCAGCAACAGCAGCAGCAACAACAACGCTTCGTATGGACAAGTTCGGCTTCTGTCTGCACTTCGTGAATGTGAATGCGCCTTGAGCTGAAGATGTTGCTGCTGTGTCGGCTGCTGCTGCTGTTGCTGTTGTTGCCGCTGCTGCGACGAGTCTCTGATAATGTTGCCGCTGGGAAATGTGGCCAAAGAATTGCATTTGGGGCCCCATCCCTGGGTAGCTCTTTCTGCTCAGGCGCTTATCAGTCAACGCTTTTGGGTCTTGTCATAAATTATGAGCAATGTTGCAGCTTGCCACAGACACTCATGCGTACACACACACACACACCCACACACACTCACACATCCCGTTTCGAATTCAAAGGCAACACTCACGCGTGGTCGCCTCGATAACTCATCCCTCATCCGAGTCACGCCGTCTGCGGTCTCGACATGTTACGCTTGCCTGGATCTCGAGTTCAGCTAACAGCGGCTAAAACTTAACTGAAAATTGAAAAACCCCGCCTTGCATTTCCTGCCAAACTGTGCTGCCCCCTCTACTTCCTCCCTCCCCACTATTGCCCCCCAACTGCCAAGTTCACCCACCGCATTGCAAATCATTTTTGAAATGCAGCCACGCACGCAAAAAATGAGCTCGTTTGAAATCCAAACATTTTAGCAGCCTTCTAGCTAAGCATTTTCCACCACCCCCCTTCCCCCCCCCTCAGCTACTCGCTCAACTCGTTCCCCCCCGCCAACAGTTGCTGCTATTTATTCATTGGTGCGTGTTGCCAAATGCCAAACATTTTTAGATGCGACTGCGAACGATGCTTGTAAATACTTTGGCGTTGTGCAAAAGTGGAAAAAGATTTGCTGTCGCAGCTGTTTAAGTTGTTGTTGTTGTTGCAGTTGTTGTTGCTGCTGTTGTTGTTGTTGTTGCTTTTGCTATTTGGTATTTGCCAGAGAATTTGCTGTGCGCGACTTGGAATCGGTTGCTTTCAGAGTTGTGCACTTTGTGCGGTCGTCGGGGAGTGTGGCAAACATTTTTAATGCAGTTTTAATTAATTTTTAGCGCAAAAATAAATTAAATATAAAATATCAACATTAACTGTGACTTTCTAGTCAGGCGAAGTCAAAAAGTAGAGCTACGCAACAGATATTTACCCGCTGCTTCGTACTTAATTAAAAGAAAGTCTATTTGCTGTTAAAATCAGTGTTTAAAAACGCACAAAAAGTTGTTAATGGTTCAGTTCATGGTTCGAACCAGCGCCCTGCTTTTGGGTTTGGTTCGTAAAGCTCGTTATTCACATCATTTGAACACCGATTTTGCTGCTAATCTCACATACTTTCAAATTTTTACTAAAAACTTCTTTCTTCATCTAACATATATGTCTAAGAACTCAAATTAGTCCAGGCCCAAGCTTCATTTGAGCTGCTTCCAAAAAGTACTTCCATCAAATATCTTAAACAACATGTGTTGATCAAGGCCCAAGTTATTAATAATTTAGGACGAGGTCTCTATTAAAAGTCCTGTATTTATTTATTATTATTTATATTTTCAGTGCTATAAAAGGATATGAAAAGCCTCTCAAGATGCCAGATCTGTTACCAAAGAACACTCATCCTTGGTTACATTTAGGAAATGTCTTTAATCTTCTATAAACTCTTAGAATATGCTTAGCAACAGTTAACATGATCGACCAACAAGTAAACCACCTTCCAGCCAGCCCAATTGCCAGCAAACTAACTTCAAATCACATAAAGTTGTCATAAAATCATCCCAATCTCTAACAACAACATTTTACGATAGAAGGCCAGCCAGTCCAGCAGCTGTAAGCACACCTCCAACTACAAATTCTCATTCCATTTAGAAGCCATCAATTAATTATAAAGCATATAAACATTTAAGAAGCAAGCGAAATTATCAATTAGAAGCTCTTTGGCTTAGACCAAGAAGTGCCACTGAAAAGTGTATGAAACTCTAGTGTTTGATATCGTTAAATGAGTTGTTATCATTAAAAAAGATAAGAAGCTCGGCTCATACTTAAGCAGAGTGGACTTTGAGTGAGTGTGTGGATGCTGGAAACCCAGTTTGTAGGCATGCCTCTCTATGGGATTCTCACATGCACACACACTCGCATACACACAAACATATACATAAATACGAAAGAGCCGCGAACAACAGTGAGCAACGTTTTTACTTACGTTCCACAAACAATGTCCATGTGAATGGAAGGAAACTGGTTGCTGGTTGCACTGTGGTTCATCAATGATTTGCAAGGGCTGTAATGAAAATTGTGTTTTAGTATTGAATAAGTATTAATTATTAAATAAATATTAATTATTAAAAAATATATGATATAAAATATATCAATCAAAATCTAGTCAAGAAACTTGCAATCGCTGAGCAATACTTTGTTCACAGAACAAAGCCCGGCAATAGACTATGAATTTGTTATAAATTTGTCTGTGCGACTTGTGGTTTTATGTAATAGATAGAATATTGTGGAGGCCCATTAACATGTAAAATTTTATTATTTTGTCTCTATAACTTTGGGAAGTATCCATTTTCGCAATTTATGCGGGCATTAACTGTACATTTTCAATGTCTAGAGATCCAGAACAAACGTATTGCCTGGGATGAGCGGAAGGTTATAGTAATAACAATCTTAATAGAAATAATAATGATAATAATAACAATGAAAAAGTAATAATAATGATGATTATAGTAATAATAATAATATTGAAAGTAATAATAATAAAATAATAATGAGAGTAATAATACTGATGATAATATTTATAAAATTGATAACACTAATAATAATAATAATATTAATAATAATAATGAGAAAAATAATAATAATAATGATAATATTTATAATATTTATAATAATAACACTAATATTAATAAATTATTATTATTATGGAGCGACAATTAGACAGCGCTGTTTAGCCACTGTGCGGCGTCGACGTCAGCTGCTGGCTGTGACTTCGAGCAGCCGCTGCCTGGCTGCCTGGCTGCCTGGCTTCCCATCTGACTGCCTCGCTGACTGCCGACTGCCGACTGCCTGGCCTATTGAAATTTATGTGGCCGCTTTTAGTCGTTTACGCTTAGCCAGCGGAAGCGAACGTCGCAATCGCAGTCGCAGTTGCAGCCGCAGTAAAAATCAAAATCGGAATCGGTTAAAGACGTGTTGTGAGTGTGTGTGTGTGTGTGTGTATATATGTGTGTGTATTGTCATCTTTGTTGCTGTGCATTGCTCAGATGCGCTTAGATGTAGGTGCAGCTGAGAGGCCTACGAAAATGTATTTCGTAATGCATTTGAATCTTGTGTAAAGTGAACAAAAGAAGTGCTAAATTACAAAAAAAAATATATAAATAAAAATTTGTTAATATTTAAAATATATCAAAAAATAACTGAAAGTTAGTTGCAGCTCAAGCGAAGCAATTGGCTAATTAACATTTGGAATTTAGCATTTGCCACAAAGCGAGCAGCATTGTGGCAAACCTGTTGCTGCCGCAGCTGTTGACACTCTCGAAACGGATAACCAACAGAGCCAAAAAGCCATTCTATAAGGTTGGTAAAAATAACAAAAAAAAAAGAAAAAGAAAAACAATATGCTAATAATGAAAACATTTGCTGTAATCATCTAATCGCGTGTGCGGCCACAAAGCAAGCCATTTAAATTAATCAACCTGACATGCGACTAACTAACTGACTCCGACTAACTATGCAAATGTTATTGAGGAAGTCAAAGAACACAAAAGACAAACTCGTAACTGTAACACTTTGCTTCCCCCTTTGTGGCCAAAGAAGTTGAAGAAGAAGAACATGTTTTTGGTGCGGGTTTTTGCCAAGCGTGAGAAAATTCACAGCGCATTAATTAGCAAAGAAATCATTTTAAGGTAATCGACAATGCGGGTTGGCTAAAACCCCAATATCCCCCCCGCTCAACCCGCGACCCGATCTTTGGGTCTGCAGGTTCTTGCGCCCGGCCACATGTGAGTTTCGTTGTGGCCTGTGATTGGAATTGGATAGCAACGAAAAAAAACTAATTGCTTGAAAATTAAAAACGTGTCAGCTGACACGCTACCAACCTAAAGGCTGCAGCTGCAACTGTTGCTACTGCAGCAGCAACAGCAGCAACTGCCTCAGTCTAAAGAAGTGCTGCATGATTGTAAAATGGAACTTTAACTGCCTTACAATTAAAAGAATTTGCATGCAACATTTTGAACAGTGTAGACACGCAGCGAAATGCCGTTATAAGGAATAGTTTATAAAACGTTTACTGCTTTAAATTTGCAACATTTCGCTCTTAAATTAATTATTGAATTAATCATGATTCACAAGTAAACAGCAAAAAGACTTATTTAGCAAATAATTATTACAATATTTTGCAGACTTTAAAGAAACAAAATAATTACTTAAATATAAAAAGATATTGCAGACTTAAATTAAACAAAATGAAAAACGTTTTTTACAAGACTTCGCAGACTTAAAAAAATAATAAAAAAATATTTTTACAAGACTTTGCAGATTTGAAATAAAAAAAAAATTTATCAAATATTTTTTACAAGTAAATAGAAAAGGTTATTACAAGATATTCCAGACTTAAAATATTCAAAAGATAAAATTGATAATTACAAGATTTTGCATTCTTAAAATAATCCAAAAATGCTTGAATTGAGCTATGATATGAGCTGACTGCAAATAATCGATAGCTGCTTGGATTGAGTACAAAATACTTAAAATAAGCGTAAAATGTTTAACAAAAATATAAACATGTAGGAATTTCTGCACAGAAAATGATCTTGAAGTAAGAGTTTCTTAACATATTAAGAAACTCGAGCTTTTAGTATATTTCAAAAGCCATTGCACTCGATTTGAGTACAAAATTCTCGAATTGTAACCCAGAATATAGCTGCCTTAAATATGAAAAAAACATTTGTAAGATTTAAGCTTTCAACAGTTTTCGCTCATTTTTCACCTCTGTACAAGCAAACACACACACACACAGAGACACACACACACTTCATGGCCAAGCCAAAACAGTGCAAAACAATTTCAGTTTCCATAGAGGGGCATAAATTACAGCTGAGCAATGCGTGTTGCTGCACAGCATGTTGCAAGACTGCAAAAGCAGGGAAGCAGCAGAGAAACAACCAAAGCAAAGCAAACCAATTCGTACAGACTCATTAAGGTTTTAATTTACAAGTTTAAACAGAGATTTAAGCGTTGCGATTTATATGCGTCCAGCAAAAGGCAATAATCAATGGCAATGGCAACGGCGACGGCAACAGCAACAGCAACAAGGCGGCAATCACGCAGGGCAACATCAGCAATAAGAAGAACAACATGCGCCAGTGTCCACCTACGCAGTCCAAGAAACAAAAGCCGAGACTTTTAGGCCGGGCCAAGAGGACGGCAACAACAACAACAGCAACAACAAACATGACAGCAACAGCAACAACGACGCCAACGACAACGACGACGACGACGACGATTTGTGCAAATGGAGCGACATTAATGTTTGCGACATGAGCAACATGTAAGCGATAGGTAAACGAGGCGGGGCGCGGGGGGGGGGGGAGGAGCCTGTAGGCCTTGATGGGCTTTAAAAATGCAGCATTGATTAAACACAGCTTGACAGGGCTCGATGATTGCCTTGGCCAACTGATTGCAGCTGCTGCTGACCTTAGACAACAGCAGCAACACACACCTGCAACACTCGGCCGCCAATTACACACAGAGAGAACTGGGCTTAACTGGACTGGACGCACGTGCATGTGATTTGAAGAGAGCAAAAACAAAGAATAAACGAAACCGTTCTAATTTCTCAACTGTCAGTGGCAAAAGAGGCAATTCCAAACAGCACGGCCAACAAAAGCCGCACCGAACTCGTTAGCTTTGCTGCTTTGGATGTTGCAATTATGTAGCCAGCGTTTACAAAAGAAGGTCGTCATCGTCTTTGTTGTTGTTGTTGTTGTTATAGTTGTTGCATTTGCAGTTGTTTTTGTTGCAGTTGTTTTTGCTGCTGGCTCATGTCTTCATTTTGGGCTTTTTGCTACACATGTTGCTGGCGTGCACAGGCAACAGCAGCAACAGCAGCAGCAGCATTGCCTTTTATTTGTTTGTGCTGCCAACACTTTTGGCCTTTGGCGTTGACGCTAACCCCAACCGCGTCTAGCCAGCCCCAGCTGCACACCCTTGTTGCCTTTATTAAGCCAAAGTCACTTGCTGCAACGCCAGCAAAAACAACAACAACAACAACAGCTGCAGCAACAGCCGCAACAACAAAGCGTGGCCTGCAATCGCAGCGCGTTTTTTAATAGTTTTTAGCTGCAAACAAGTTTTTTTTTTCATATATTTTTTTTTGAGCCCGGCTGCTGGCACTTTGGGCCCCTCCGGTGTTGACGTCGCCGTCGGTTAACGATTTTTTTTTTCTCTAATTTGCGCCGCTTTAATTTTGCCTTTTTATTTGCAACACTTGTCGTTTAAATGCAGCAGCCGCGGCAAAGTGTTGCCAATAAATTAAATTCAATGCAAGCAGCGAGAAAAATCTAAAAAAAAAAAAATTAAAGATAAATTCATATTTTGGTCTAGACGAAGCTGAGATACACTTGGAGATGATGAATGCTTTCTGTGTGGATTTTTGTTATATTTATATTCCTTTCAATTTATTTATTGACTTGTTTAAATATATTGAAAAATAATGCCATTTACCTTAGATTGTTTCGTAGTTAAACATATATCTTACAGAGAAAATTCTAGATTTCTGTTTAATTATCTAAGAAATTTGAGAAGTAAACAAAAGATAATTCCACAAATGCGGATGTTCATTGACTATATATTTGAAAAAGTAGACTAATATCCAAATCGAAAATTGCAGCTAGATTTAAACCGTTGACCTAACTCTTAAGTGCATAAATCGTCAATTAATAAGAATGTCATCCAGTATGTCATCCAGATTAAGCCCATAATTCGACACCAAAAAGAGCGCTCTTTCGTGTTGCAACATTATAAACAAACAAAATTAGTTAAATAATTTACAGTCATATAAAGATCCAACCTTTTAACCAACAACAATATGCATTTTTGTATGGACCCATAGCGCGAAGCTTTTCTTAGCTCTTTCAATTGAAGTGCAGCATGTTTTGACAAACTCTTTAAGAGGCGCATTAGGCTTCCTGTTAGGGTAGCTCGAGAGAGCCGCAAGAGAAGTTGGAGCCAGTGTGCGGCATGGTTGGAAATTATCTATGTGGCCGGCAGTTCTCAGTTCTCATTCGTTTTGTGGCACGACGCAATCGCAACAAATGGCATTTTTATTGATATTTCGGTCGGTTTGCCTGGCAGCTTCATGTTGAAATATGCGCCGCCACCTGTTGATTTTGTTTGCAGATTGGGCCAAGACACACAGCGCACAGCCTCTTGGCCCAAGCACTTGGCAGGCACTTGGACGCCGACTCCGGCTGCAGCTGGAGCCAAAGGGGACTCGTGATTTGCAGCACAAATTAAAAGCGAGGGCGATGCATATAAATAGCAATTTGGACAGACGAATTAAGCCAAATGACTCCAAGTACATAGCCAAAGTTGTAAACTTGTCGTGTCACAGAAATGAGCTGAAGTTATGTCAACAGCGTGACTCGAAGGTGGAGTGTCTATGTGTGTCTGTGTGTGTATGTGTGTATCTGCGTGTGTGTGCGCTGAAGGAAGCCATGAGAAAGTCATACATTCCATGTGCATAACCCTTGGGAAACTTGAGCCAACTTGCATTTGACTTTAGTACGCTTAGAACTTTTTAAGTTGCCTCATCTTTTTAACTAATCAAATGTTTATTTATTATACTAGTTAATGTCAGCTCCAGCCGAAGCCGTCAAAACGTTCAAAAAGTGGCTATTAATATTAATTTAAGTTGACAACTTAATTTCGTTAACTAAACTAATAAAACACTCTAGTGCAAATAAACAAAACTTTTAAGAGAATAAATTAAAGTAATTTATTATACAAAAATAGGCTACTTTTTAAGTTAAATGAATAATTAAATAAATTTATGCACAAATTTTAAGGCCTTTTCAAAACTATTTAATTAAATATATTTATCAGAGCTGCGTACACACAAAAAAGTCGCTGGTTCCATTCACAGTTCGAACCAACTCCCTGCCTTCAGGTTCAGCTCCTGAACCTGAGTTTCCCACATTCTTAAGCCTAGATTTTGTTTCAAACCGTAATTTTTCATTTGTTTTTAAAGTAATAAATTAAATCCCTTTTAAATTTACAATTTTTACAATTTTACGAACCGATCTAACAAATTAAATAAGTGCACACTTTAATCCTTAAATTAATTTCTTTCTATACAATTTCTATATCCTTGATAAGTGCATAATTTACTCCTAAAATAAGACTTAGATATATATAGATATCTGTAAAATTTCTTGATCTATTTTCACCCTTCATATCTAAAATATTTCAATTTAAAACTCTTTCCTAATTTTATTTTACCTGTCCCAACTTCATATTAATCTGAACTATTTCAACATTTCTTCAGATACTTTTTATGAGCTTTGATAAGCTGAAAC